TGAACCACTTACCCGGCCACCCATGACCCAGGTCCATGGCCAGCTGTAGCCAGAGCCCTGGAAACCAGCTGTGGTCCTTCTGACCTCTGCCAGGAGGGCGCAAGGTCGGGCGGCGGGGACAGGCCCCGCGCAGGCTGGCCCCGAGCAGGCTGGCGCGGCCCGCCGCGCAAAGGACCCTTCTCGCTTCGGAGGGGACGGCCCGAGCCCCGGGCCTCCGCAAAGGGCCGGTGGGGGGAGCTGACCCTTTGAGCTGGAGTTAGGCGCCCCGCCTGGGACCCCTCGAAGTGGCTCTCTCGTGGCTTCCGGGCCACCCCAGCTAACCGCGCTCTCCTGAGTGCCTGCCCCTGGGTCTTTGGAGAGTGGCTGGCCCTGGGGCTCTGGGACCCGGAGGAGGACAGCATGCAGGGCCACCTCCTGTCACCTGCCCCATGACACCCCCACTGGGCAACTGGCCTGCGGAGAGTAGCGGAGCTCCTCCCATCTAGCAGACTGGCGGCTAGTCAGGCAGGGGGCTGTGTCCCTGGAGGCCCAGGGTAGCCAAGGCTGCTGAGCCTGGCCCCAGAGCACCCTCCTGGGAAGGTCCTGTCATCTCAGGGGCCTTCCTCCTGGGCTGTGGTTCCTGTGGGGGCTGCCGGTTTCTAAGGCAACAGCATAGGGGGGTGGGCAGCACACTGCCTGGGGCTCAAGGCCTGACCTACTGGAGTAATGGACCCCTGTGTCCAGGGCTGAGCAGCTCCATGGGCCCAGGAAGGGCCCACAGAAGGCAGGAGGTGATGGTCAGCTTTAGGACCCCCTGCTGTGGAGTCCACAGAAGTGGCTAGAGGGGGAGAGACTGGGTCATGACCACCTGGGTGGGCGGGAGTGGGCAGCTCTGCTCTTTGCGCACCCTGCAGGCAGCCCCCCTGAGAGGGTAGGTCCAGGCCGCGTCCTGCCTGTCTGAGTCCCCAGAGCCTTGCCGACGGTGTTCTCAGTCATGGCCCGGTGGCTGGGAGAGCTGGTGCTCGATCTCCAGTGGCTGGAGAGGGCCCTGGGGAGCCTCCAGAAGGAGCAGACCTTTGCCTGGTGCAGGGCACACAGGCCTCTCCTCTGGGGAGAGGCAGGCAGAGACGCTGGGTCTGTAAGGGGCTCCGGCTCTGGTTCGGGTGAGGGGGAGTTGGGCACCCCATGGCAGCCTGGACTATCTGTGTGAGTGTCCTTGGAAGCAGGACGGGATACCTGAAGCTGGGGGTGCTGTGGGCAGGGCCTCTCAGCAACCACAGGACACCCCCTCATGGTGGGACCCCTGCACCAAGGGCAGGCACTCTGCTTTCGTCTATAAGAATGTGGTGGTCAGCTCTGCCTGTCTTTCCTCCCCACCACCACCAGCCCTGTGGTCCCCTCAAGGGAGCCCAGAGCAGGGCAGGGAGCAGAGATGGTGTGGCCCCCACCAGGACCACCCTGCCCTAGGGCCCCCTCCCCTGCCCCTGTGGGAGCCAGCCAGATGGTGGTCCAGATGGTTCAGTTGAGGCCTGGCTGGGAGGGAGAGGACAGGGGAGCCACCAGCTGAGGCTGTTTGTCCACAGCTGCCCCCACCCCTCATCTCCCACTGCGGCTGACCGGCGTGTAGGTGAGTCAGGCTGGGAGGGGCCCGGTTTGCAGAGAGAATCTCAGGGAAGTGATCTGGATGAGGGTTTTGAGGGGCAATAGGAGTTCACCCACCAAGCTCTGCAAGAAGGATGCCGCTCTTTCCAGGGGGGACTGAGGAAAGCAGCTCTGGAGGAAGTTGGAGGGGCAGGGAAGGTGGGGTGCAGGGCCCACCGGCCAGGCTTGGGCCTGCTCATCCTGAGGACTGGTGGCCTGGGTGTTGGCTGCACCAGTTTACCTGTGTCCCTGCCAGAGGCGAGTAGATGGAGAGGTCCCAGCAGGGACATATGTAAACCAGTGCAGCCGGCAGCTCTGAAAGCCAGAGGGGGACAGGACTGGTTACAAGGCCTGCTCCTTGCCTGCGTTGGCCCCCTGGGGACTGTATGAACACCCTGGGGGCGGGGTGTCTCTAAGGTGGTGGCTGCATGGTACGTGGGGTGTGGAGTGGCCCTCAAGGACCTGGAGTCCAGACAAGGGCCTCAGGTGGCCGTCCCCACAGGGGCTGTGGGGGTGAGCTTCTGGATGGAGTGGGAAGCGCACCAGAGGAGGCACCAGGCAGGGCAGGTGTTGATGTGCTGCTGCCAGGCCCCAGCAAGGTTAGATAAGTCTGTGAGTCACACCTGCCTGGGCTGGGGGGTGGGGGCTGGGAGGGGGAGCTGAAGGGGGGCTGCAACCAGGTGATGTGTTGCCAGTCCCGGAGCCAGCCCAGCAGGCTCTGAGCAAGGCGGCCACAGGCAGCACCTGCTGTTCCTGTGCCCCGTTCTTTGGGGCTGGGCTCACAGAGTGATGGATCAGGGCTCGGAGAGTGACCATGGTCAGGGCTCAGAATGTGACCAGGATCAGGGCTCAGAGTGTGACCAGGGTCAGGGCTCGGAGAGTGACCATGGTCAGGGCTCAGAATGTGACCAGGATCAGGGCTCAGAGTGTGACCAGGGTCAGGGCTCAGAGAGTGACCAGGATCAGGGCTCTGAGAGTAACCAGGATCAGGACTCAGAGAGTAACCAGAATGAGGGCTCAGTGTGTGAGCAGGGTCAGGGCTCAGCGAGTGACCAGGGTCAGGGCTAAAGAGTAACCAGGATCAGGGCTTAGAGAGTGGCCAGGATCAGGGTTCAGAGAGTGATGGATCAGGGCTCAGAAAGTAACCAGGATCAGGGTTCAGAGTGTGATCAGGGTCAGGGCTCCGTGTGTGAGTAGGGTCAGGGACCAGGCTGAGACAGGAATCAGGCGCAGCATATACAAGGCTGTGAGCAGAATGCTCTCTTGTGGGTGCTGGGAGTGTGGACAGCTAGGAACCTTTGTTGGCATGAAGCTGGCCCTTCCGGATGGAGGCTTTTCTGGTTAGACTGCAGGTGCAGGAATGTGGAGTGGGTGTGGGGGGAGACAGTCGGGCTTGGGCCTTGGAGACCACGGATGGCTAGGTAGACAGCCAGCAGGCATGGTCTGGAAGGTGAGGAGCTGGCTCAGAATGGGTGCGAGCCCACCCCACCCCTGTAGGGTTGAGGAGGAGTGTCAACAGAAGGAGAGGCATGTCAAAAGCCCGGGACAGTCTAGGAACTAGCCATGTAGCCTGGCCCCCAACACCAGCCCTCTACTGGCCTTGGCCACTGGAGTGGGGCTGAGCCAGGTGGGGAGGGGCCAGACCTAATGAGCACCGAGTGGGCAGATGGCACCAGGGCTGGGCATCAGCCACCTGGAGCAGACATGAACCACTTACCCGGCCACCCATGACCCAGGTCCATGGCCAGCTGTAGCCAGAGCCCTAGAAACCAGCTGTGGTCCTTCTGACCTCTGCCAGACTCTGGCTTCAGTTTCCCAACTGGTGAAGGGGTGCAGTACTGGGCTCCAGAGTCCAGCCCGCCAGCCCCTGCTGACTCCCTGCCTCAAAGGGGCTGCCTGGAGCCAAGAACCTCCCCCCACCCAGGGTGCTCAGCCACCCCACTGAGCTCACCTCTCCTGGTTCATATGGTAGGCAAGACCACCGTCTCCTGGGAAGCCCCCTTAATGGGCTAGTCCTGGGCCCCCTATGGAGGGGGCGACAGGCTGCAGGCTTCCATAGGTGGACAGGGTTCAGCCTTGGCCCAAGGCACAGGGTATGGGGACATGGCCAGCTTGGCTTAGGGGCAGGATGGGTGGGGGTTGGGTCCAGGTCCTTGGTCTACCATCCCACCTTGCTCTGAAGGGGCCGTTAGGCAGCAGGGGTGGGGCATGGGGAGACCAGTGGGTGGCTGAGGAAGGGCATCACACTGCAGGACTTCCTGCAAGAGCGCTCACTGGTCACTGTGACCTGGGAGAAGACCCCGGGGAGTTGATAGTCACTCTCAGGAGGGCCTGGGTGCCAGAAAGGGATTCCTGGAGGAGATGGGGCAGCAGCAGCTGTGTGGACGGGAGCCCAGCGCAGTGTGGCCAGGCGCCTCTGTGTCTGAGGGAATTGTCCCCAAGTCAGAGAGGTAGCTGGAGACGTGCGGTCCAAGCTGCCCCATGGGGCCAAGGGTCTGTAAGGCTGTTCGTGGGGCCTCAGGCGAGCCTGGGTGGGGGTGCCTTTAGAGCCCCTCCTGTTGGTAGCTGGGCTCTCCCTGCATCCTGGAGCTGCTGGCTGGCGAGGGGGCTTGGAGCTGTCCCCTGGGGGCTGCGTGCGTTCTGGGCAGGGTGTTGCTGACATGATGAAGACCAGCGACGGGTGGCAGGGCTGAAGTCACCAGGGTCCCACATCAGCGGGCCAGCAGGGACTCGGTGCTTGGGACGCCAGGGGCAAGAACAGCTGGGTGGACCGGGCAGGGGCCCTGGGTCTGGGCAGTGCACAGGTGGGCTGGAGCAGGGGAGGGAGGTGACCTCACTGTCGGACTACAGCCCAGGGTGGAGCGGCTGGTGGGCACACAGGGTGGAGCGTGCTGGGGCAGGGGTGGGGAACACAGGGTTGGAGTGCTATGTTGAGGGGTAATGGGGGGGGCATGGCACGTGAGGGGCTGATTAGATGCCTCAGGACTGGAGCTGGGATATGCTGGTAGACACCCCTCGGCAGAACCTCCCCGGAGGGGGGCCAGGCGTGGCAGAGGAGCCTTGAGAAGCCACCCCCTCCCCTGTGCCTGGGCTCTGCAGGGCCCTGACCTTGATCTTGACCTTGACCCCCCGCAGGGCATGGAGAAGACCACCTTGCCGTCCGTGGCCCTCATCGTGGGCTGCGGCGTGTCCTCGCTCACCCTGCTCCTGCTCATCATCATCTACGTCTCCGTATGGAGGTGTGTGGCGCCTGCACCCCAGCCCAGAGCACCCCCAGCCCCCGCATGCCTGCCCAGGGCTCCTGGGCCAGCCACTTTGCGCAGGAAGGTAGACAGGGACAGGTGGACCCCGGCCCCCCCACTGCCTAGGAAGCTGAGCCCAAGGCAGTGTACCCGCCAGCACGTGTGCCCAATCTACGCCCTGATGCCGGACACTCAGCACATCCTGAGTCCTGTGCGTCCTTCTCCTGGGACTGCAGCTGCCCACCCAGGGCTCCTCTCACCTTCCAGGATCCCCAGAGGAACCTGGGCAGGGGCAGGCAGGAGGAGGAGTGTCGACAGCTGTGAGGAGCTGGTGAGGAGCAGACCGGGTGGGAGTTAGAGCATGGGTCTGAGCCTGCCCAGCCTGGCTGCAGTGTGGCAGGTCCCCTAGCTCCATGCCCCCGGGACACAGTTTAGCACGGGCAGGGCAAGTCCAAGGTCACCCTGCTAGGACACTCTCCCTCTAGGGCCCAGCCTCGACTCCCAGGGCACTTGGACAGACGTGCTTCCACCACGCCTGGCCACCCTGTCAGCCCAGTATCGGAATTGATGAGTCTCACTCCCGAGGTTGGGTGGGAGGTTGATGGCCCAGCAGGGGAGGAGCTGTTGTCCAGGCGTCCACTCACTCCCCTCTCTCCTCCCCGAGGGAAGAGCCACCAGAATGTCACCCTAAGAAATGTAGCATGAGTGCCTTCCCCGCCAGCGCTCCCAGCTGCATCTGAGGCCGAGAGAGAGGGCGGCGGCAGCTCAGGAGGGCCGCTCCAGGGTGGGCCATCCAAGCAGCAGGGAACAGGGGAGCCCCATGCCTGCCGTGGTGCCCAGCTGTGTACCGGCACATGGCGTGCGGTGGAGTGGAAGGGGTGACAGTGTTGGTGATAGAGGTGCGAGAGTTGGTGGAGGTGGTGGTGATGGTGATTGAGGTATCAGAGGTGATGTTAGTGGTGATAGAGGTATTAGAGGTGGTGGTGATGGTGATGATAAAGGTATTAGAGGTGGCGATGGTGGTGATAGGGGTATTAGAGATGGTGGTGATAGGGGTATTAGAGATGGTGGTGATAGGGGTATTAGAGATGGTGGTGATAGGGGTATTAGAGATGGTGGTGATGGGGTATTAGAGATGGTGGTAATAGGGGTATTAGAGGTGGTGATGATGGCGATAGGGGTATTAGAGGTGGTGGTGATAGGGGTATTAGAGATGGTGGTGATAGGGGTATTAGAGATGGTGGTGATGGGGTATTAGAGATGGTGGTGATAGGGGTATTAGAGGTGGTGATGATAGGGGTATTAGAGGTGGTGATGATGGCGATAGGGGTATTAGAGGTGGTGGTAATAGGGGTATTAGAGGTGGCGATGGTGGTGATAGGGGTATTAGAGGTGGTGGTGGAAGTGGTGATGGTGGCCGGAGTGTTGGAGGTGGTGACAGGGGTATTCGAGGTGGTGGTGATGGTGATAGAGGTATTAGAGGTAGTGATGATAGGGGTATTAGATGTGGCAATGGTGGTAATAGGGGTATTAGAGGTGGTGATGATGGTGATAGGGGTATTAGAGGTTGTAGTAATAGGGGTATTAGATGGTGAAATAGGGGTATTAGAGGTGGCGATGG